TCATTATTTCTTTAAGACAGGTTGTCCAAGTGTGCTTGAATCGAGTACTCTTGGATGCTGCGTGCGCCTTACTTGGACGATACTTGGATAGGTGTTCTAACATTAAGCCGGGTTGACACGGTCCAAGTGTGCTTGGATGATAACTTGGAGAGAAGACAGTGCACACAAATCACATGGTGGAGTGCTTATTGCCATCAGAAAGGAGCTCTCATGTAGGGTGATTTCAACTCCAAAAAATAACGTAGAACATATTTTTAATGTTATTAACTTTAAAGAAACAAAGTATATAGAGTAGAAAATGCATACATTCCTCCGGAAAGCCCTTTGGAAGTCTATGATAATTACTGTGATTCAGTTGCAATCGTACTAAGTCAGTTTTTGGGATTTGGAGATGTAAGAGTTGCCTTGTGTGGGGATTTCAATCGCCCCAAAGTTAGGTGGAGTAATGATCCATATGGTCCTCAGTTTTCAGGGAAAAAATAGTGAGGAGACTCGAGTGTTATCAAACTGTATGGTTTCTTTTAATTCACGTCAGTTAAATAACATTCCCACTGCTTATGATAATTTTTTTTTGGATCTGGTATTCTGTAACAAAGACCTGTCTGTGGAAGTAAGTTAAAATCCAATATTACAGATTGATGTACCACATCCCGCACTCGAGTTTGAGTTAGATGTGAATGTGAGTAACAATGACAATGTTTTTAATGCATATAATTACAGTTATTATAATTATAAATTGGCAAATTATGTAGAAATTAATGAAGGCTTATCTTTGATTGATTGGAATCAGATATTGTCACTGGGCAGCATAAATGAGTGTGTTGATGCTTTTTATAATGTTTTATATTATTTTATTTTCTACTTTACTATTATAGATCCATAATACCTAGCAAACGAAATACGTTAACACACCTATAACAACCTGATCCATAACGCCCGCTTTTGCGGGCGTTATGAACTATAACGCCCGCTTATAATACCTTAAGGTGTTTTTGTTGTTGTTGTTCTATTAATTTGCACTTTACCCTAGGCAGCCACTAAATGTCTGACCGAAAATAATTTTCGGTCTAGCCAGGATTCGAACCCGGTCTACCATCAATGTTTCCCATGTAGTCCAGCGCGTTAACCCACAGGACCACCACCGTTGCCTTGCCTTATGAGATGTTTATAGATATATTAATTTATTTCGTTTCTATGTACAGGTCACAGGTACAGGTCACAGGTACAGGTACATGTCAAAATACAAAACAATATTCTGTCACACAAGTTTAACTGATTTTGTTAATAACAAATTGATGAAAAAACATTGTGTTGAGTAGAAAATAAAGCATTGTATGCACCACGGGGATTTCAAGATTATAATGCCCTTCAGGCGAAATATATCCCTCGGGCCATAGGCCCTCGGGCTAGTTTCGCCTTCGGGCATTATAATCTACATAATCCCCTTGGTACATAAATAGCTATTATTGACTTGTATACTCCAATATGTCAGTATAAAAAAACCAAATCTCCAAAATGGATGGATTATTCACTGAAGGAACTGATATTAGAAAAAAAAATCAGTTCATAAAAAATTTAAATCCTCAGGCTCAGTTGAAGATTATGGTAGGTTCTCAGAGCTAAGGACAGAATGTCGTGTATACTTAAAAATTTATCATGAAAACTTTATTAATAATATCGAATATGATGTCCAAGACCGAAAAGGATTCTCGCAATTTGCCTACAAACATGGCATTTAACGATATGGAGTCATGTTGACCCTTGATGATCCACATAAAGTATGTGAGTTTTTTAAAAACCATTTTTCTTCTGTTTATGTTAAAGGGGGTGTGCGCCAAAAAAACAACTTCATCTCAAAAAAAAGAGAAAAAAAATCTAAGAATAACAGTGAAATCCGCACCCCTCTATGACAAATAATACCGCAACAATGGCATCTCACCCTATGACGTCACGAAAGCTCAAGCGACGCACGAGAAAGTGGATCTAATTAAATTTACATAATGTTTTTCCTGTGTTACCTGCAATATTCTAAACAAAAACCACTCACGTGTGCCGGGAACAATCAAATTAACAATGCAGAGCGCCGCTGGACGAAGTTTTCGTGACGTCACGAGAGCGTCGTCCACACTTTAAAGCGGTATATCTCAGCGATGGTTTATCGTAGAATAACGAGGTTTGAACAGTTATTCTTAGATTTTTTTACACTAAAACTTTAAGTTTTGGCGCACACCCCCTTTAACCATGAGCTTTCGACTAATACATTTCCTTCTCAACATTCTGTGGGTATTAGGCAATTCAATCCATCTGTCAAAACGGAAAATTCATTGTGACGTGGCGGCCAAGCAAGTTTGTTTTGAATATGTTTTTATGCGTATTTTAAATTATTTTGCATACAGTTTTGCTTACAACTTTGATTTTCATTATTTAATAAAATATTTGTTGACTAGGTACCTGAACTATCAATTCCGGCAGAAACTAGATATTTTTTTTTGTGTTTTTTGGCCCATGTATGGCCGCCACGCCATCTTGAATGTCACGTGGTTTGAATTGCCTAATGGGAACCTGTCAGATATTGGTCATTGATATTTTTAATGAAATTACAAGCTCAAAGGACTCTTTGGACTCAGATGGCATATTTGTTTTCTTTTCAAAACAGTGTAAATTTGTTATATCTGACGTGTTATGTGGAATTTTTAACAGATCAATATCGTGTGTTTTTTTTCCGGATCTCTGGAAGAGGAGCTATGTTACTCCGATCTTTAAAGATAAGGAAAGTAGTGATGTTAGAAATTATAGAGCGATCTCAAGGACCTCTATAGTTCCAAAGGTTTTTGAGGCTATATTAGCAGATGAAATGTATCTCTTATTTCAAAATATAATTATACCAGAACAACATGGTCTCATGAAACCAAAATCGACTATAACAAATCTACTAATCTATCAAAATTATCTTTCGGAAGCCTTGGAAAGGCGGTATCATGTTGACCCTATTTACACAGACTTTTCTAAGACATTCGACAAGATGGACATAAATATTTTAATTAAAATGCTGGAAGCCTTTGGTATTTGTGAGGATCTCTTGAAGTGGTGCGCTAGTATGCTTACCAATAGGGAATAAGTGGTTAAGATCGAGAATGTTATGTCAAGTGTCATCTCAGTTACTTCTGATGTAGGTACCCTAAGGGAGTCCTCTATCACCTCTGTTTTTTGGCTGCTTTGTTAATGACGCGAAAGAGATGTTTTTATTCTCCCTTTTTTTGTTTGTGGCAGATGATTTAAAAGTAATTAGAATGGTTAAAAATCTGGGAGATACTCATGGATAGGTTCGTTGATTGGTGTTCTCTTAATAATTTGACATTCAATACTGAAAAATGTAAAGTGATCTCCTTCCTTAGAACAGAAAAACTAATTAATTTTCCTTATTCTATTAAGAGCAATACTTTGGAAAGAGTTAGTTTAATAGGGGACTTGGGGGTATGGTTTGATGTAGAATTAACCTTTATCGACCACATTGACTTGATTGGAAGCAGGGCAAGAAGAATGTTGGGTTTTGTACGAAGGACTACCAAAGTTTTTAATTATACTTACTTTAAAGAACATCTACTGTGCAACAATTCGCTCAATCCTAGAATATGCAAGTATGGTATGGTCACCTTATTATGATGTTCATGAAAAAAAGTTAGAATGAGCACAACATAAATTCTTAAGGTTTATTGGTTACAAGCTTGGAATACCTGCAAACAGTATAGAATATAATGATCTGGAACAATTTGTTGAACATAGAAACTTTAGAAAAAAGAAGACATGACACCGATCTCATTAATTATCAACAGCTGCTTTAATTCACCTGAACTTCTTGTCTTGATTGGAATTCAGGTGCCTGATCAGAGACTCAGGTCTAATATTTTTTTTACAGTTCCATAATATCATCGAACTAATTATGGGTTTAATTCCCACATTTTTTTCTGGCTCCTACATTTTCTTGTGATTTTTCATTGCTGGTCCTATACAATCACCTGGATCTACCTATTATCCTTCAAATCTTGCTACACGTAATGATTATTTATCAGGTCCATTTTTAAAATTGTATGAAAAGCAGGAAGTATTTCGCTTCTTATTCTATATTGCAATTCGTTATACTCTGACTAATAAATCATTCCTCACTTGATAATTACGTTTTTCAATGCGGGAAATTTAAATACCTATTGTTGCTTCGTCAGCATTTTTCTTTGTGAAACCTTGCATATAAATTTATCTCAAATGTCCAAATTGCGGCCTGTTAATTAAGCTTTGCTGGATTTTGCTTATCCAACCATTGGAGCTCTATTATTTTGTCCCTTGTTTCTGCTCCTTCTGGTGCTGCCCAGTGCACCGGACTGTCGACTAGCTTTTAGTTTCAAAATTACAACTTTACGGATAGGTGATAAAAACGATAAGTTACAAGGAGCTACGATTAAGGACATTTTCTTTCTATCAACCTCAAACCCAGAAACATTTAGGATTGCTAGAGAATATTAGCAAATATATTAGGAACTACTTAATTTGAATGATATACGATAATTTTTATTTTTTCTAATTTTTTGGTGGGTTTTGTAGTGTTCTATATACTAAATTTGAGAGCAAAGTTTTATGTTTTAAGTGTGATTTTTAATTATCTTAGACTCAAATTATATAAATTATTTGGCTACAACTTTTATTGATGTTTATTTTATGACAATTATTCTACCTTTAACTTGTCCCTTTTTAGTCTATCAATAAACATTCTACCCAAGTAAATCTAAGAATAAAATCTTTGGCTATTCTACTGAGCTCAATTAAATCTCCTGGACGTTCGCTTGATTGCAAGCAACGTCGCCATATGTCCTATGTCCCGCTTGACAAAATAAAATTACCCCCTTAGGATGTCTTGTATAAACAAAACTGTGATTTCTGGCAATCTTGCTGCTCCTAAATTAAATTAAAATCCGACCTCGCTAGCCCAAACCAAGAAGTAAAAGAGGGGAAAATCGACAAAACAAACACCGCAAACTTTCAAATAAATCTTCCAAATAATAAAACACTTTGTTGTGTAACATCGTCAATTCTTTTTTATTTCCAATGAAAACTTGCTTTAAACAAAGAAAATCGTTTTCAACTTTACCAATTAAAATACATTGAATCTTTTCTAGTTTCTAGATATCTTCCATCAAATGCAGTAGCAAGCTTTTATGTTACAAGAATAGGAAATCTTTTTTTTACGCGTTTTAAACGATAAATTGTTTTTCTATAAATTCAAATTGATGTTGTATAAAAAAAAAACACTTACAGAAAACTACAAATTAATCCAATACAAAGAAAAAGCATTAAAAATTGTCAAAGGCACACAATACTTTACTAAAACGATCCAGGCTAGGCCTAAATAAGAGACAACCCTTAAAACCCAATCCGCACAAAACATCCTGAAACAAAAACACAATTATCATTATTATGAAATTTTCAATAATTCAAAAAAGCCCTCTTACCATAAAGTTCTAGTTTTATTCTTTTGCGTGACTTCCTTGCTCTCTTTCAACAAATAATATCGCACGTAATTGCCACATTTCATGTAGAAGTCATAAATTAAAAATTCAGAAGATGGCCTGACTGTAAAGTTAAAGTCACTTCGCTCTTCAATCGGTACGATTTCAAAAAGCTCATCGTATTTCCTATTATCAAACTTCCAATCGTTTAACATGAAATGACTTATGGCCATATTGGCTATGTAAATTTTTCTTTGGATCTTGAAAATACTAAGAGATATTTTTAGCAGCTACAAAATGTCACAAAACTAAATGTCCTTACGTAGGTGGATATCCAGCAATCCAGAGCACCAAATCGAAAAACATCGCAGGAATCACTTGACAGAGTAACACAGTTACAAAATACTCGTACCAACATTTTGTGGGCTTGTTTCTTGGAAACCAGACTTTTCTTTCTAAAGGTATATCCCAGTAAAGTTTTTTACCATGTTCAATTAAATTGCCTAATTTATAGGGTAACTTATCGCCTTTGCACATTTGGTAAATAAAGATTTCTTGTAAATTTCTACAACAAATGGATCAATAAATATACTATTAATAGGGATAAGTATTTACCCTGTAGCGGTTGCGTTATGCCATGCAGAAACTATCATGCCTTTAACAACATTATCGACAGCATTATAATCGGTATCGATTTCTGAGTCTGCGTATACGATTCTTAATAAACCTGAAGCTCCTGCAATGAGAAGCCCTACAGGTCCATTGAAATTGTCACTCCATCCTTCAAAGGGTTCTTCCAAGGATCCAATAACTGAAAAAAAAAATAGTGTTTATCAAATGGTCCGCACTTTCATCTACAATCTGTAGATAATTGCTGAAATCTGGGAAATAAACTTAATTTGGTTTTGACATAAGCTTCCTAAGAAAAATTGTTCAGAAACACTAGGAAAATGTGAAATAATCCTAAAACAGAGAATAGATTCAAATAAGGAAACTATAATAGACAAAGCAAAAAATAGTGAAGTAGAGAACAAGAGACAACTCCCCAAAACAGAAAACAAACATTCTGAAACAGAAAAGAATGAAATAATAAAAGCAGTGTAAAAAGAAGAACTTCTTGAAATTAAAAATAAACAAACCGAGACAAATAATTGAAAAAGAAGTGGAAAAGGATTGAAGGAAGGACGTTAATCTTCTGCATCTTCAAATGCACTTAAGTTAACACAAAATTTGCTTCAGGTTGCAAAAATAATTGAATAAGGTGGAAATAGTTATTTTTAATAATAATGCACTGAAAACGAGTTGCTAATGAATTGATGTCGATGTTATAATGCGATAAATTTTAAATTAAGAACACATTAAAGTTTGAGTGCTTCAAGTAATGTGTATATGAAGAAGATAAGGACATTCAACCAGAAATGTATGAAATGTAATTGGGAGCCATTAATTTAAATAAAATTATAAAGGTATCCGAAAATATAATAATTTTTGCGTAAGAACCATATTAAACAAAAAAGTAAAATCCATTCTTACCTACTGAAGGCCTACAGATCACAGTTGGTACTTTTCCAACCAGCAAATCATTGACACAGTGCTCGGCCAACCTCTTTGTGAATGTATAGGTATTTGGAAAATCTGTGATGTAATGCTGGGCCAGTAGATCCAAAGTGTTCGAATCAGCATTTTCCGCTACAGAAACGGCCTCTCTCCAATCTACCGATGCTGGATATAAAATTTCTTCTACAAACTAAGATATATATAAGAATTAATAACAATCGTAGCTTGTTATACATGACGGCCAATTTCAATTTTAAATATGTTATGTGACAATATGGTTATTTATATACTTAGGAAAGTTACCTTTTTGTTATCGATATTACAATAAGTGGTAGATACTTGCTGAAAATGTTCGATTTTAGTCATATCTAAAGCCAGCAAGGCTGCTTCTCTGGTACTACGTAAATTAGCGAAAACAGCATTTTTAAGAGGTTCATCGAATTTAATTGATGCTGCGATATGGAAAAATATATGGGTTTGCTGTGTTAATAGGTACTTATCCTCTACCGATATGCCTGAAACAAAAATAGAATTAAACGAAAAAGTTTCTACGTTGTTTTAGGATCTTTTTCACTTAAAAATATAATATCGGTTAAAATCCTTTTTGTGTCGCTGTGGTAATCTTTCGTTGTCAGTTTTCATCAGTTTTGTTGAAATTTCACGGGCATTTTGGAAAGCAAAACGCTGTTTCGGGATTTAGATTATTTTTTCCTCGAGAGTTTTGAATTGAAACACAGACACTTTATTCCTGGTTAAGTAATATTACTGATCAATTTTACTTAGGAATATTTTGATGGGTTAGTTCTAAATAAATAAAACCCATACCTTGTTACGATAAATTTATCATTTACGTAACATGTTCCATCTCTTCTTATTTTCATTATAAAGTTGTATTTTTTTCATTTCAGAATTCAAAATAATTTCCAATATTCTAAAAATATCCATTAAATTCAAATTTAAATTCAAGTAATACAAGTGCTGCCATCTATCTACATTTGCGGAAAGTGCAAGTATCAAGAATTGATTTTTTAGTACTGCGCGATGATCGATCTGATCTATATTTCAAAGTATGATTTCTTATTTCGCATTTTGGCAGTAATTTGTATTTTTTGAAAGAAATTATATTCATCTCACTTTTAGCAAATGGATATATTTATGTCCTTTTTTACCTTCTGATTTTTAAATATTCATTTTTGGCTTAATGATCCAATTAATTAACAGTCTTTTATCTTTGACATAACCTTAATTTAAATTATTATAATTTGTAAACAATTAAAATAGTTTTAGTGGATTTTTATCTATTTTCGTTTATTCCATGCGGTCTTTTCATTGTGTTTCCATTTTGAAGTGAATATGGTCTTTCGAGTGTACTCATTTGATTGGTTCAAACTGGCTGGAATGCAGTAAGTATAAAAAACACAGAATCGTTTTCCTGCTAGCTTGGTTTTCTAAGACGTTCTCTTCTTGAAGAACACTCTGGCCAGTCAAGTCCTCTACTTATTTTTATTTATAATTTTGTGATTTGAATTTCTCGATCCTCCCCTATAGATTTTTCAATATTCAAATTATCGTATCTTTATTAAGTTTTTACTGATAAATCTTATCTTATCTGTTTTTTGAAATATAAATATTATATTTAAATTTTTTTTTATCTAATTGTTGGCTTCCATTTTGTGTGAATTACTTTGCTTATTGGTTAGTGCCACGTTTTGTTATAATTGGTAAGTCAAGACAGTTTTTTTTTGGTTTTAAATAGGTACTGCTGCTCTGGCTTTCAGAAACAATTTTCTTAAATATCTTAACTAAAGGGTGTAATTTTTTAATAGAAATCCAGACAGGTCAAAAATTCAGTTTAAAAGTTTTAATTAAGACATCTCAAGAATTTTGACACATTCTGGATTTGATTAATTTCAACCCTGGGTTTATCTAGTATCTGTGGTAGCTAACTTGATTCGAGGGGAGAATTTTGTCTATTTGGGGAGGAATCCAGACATTTGATATCTTTTCTTTTTTTTTACTTACCTTATTTTTGCTTATATTTTTTTTCTTGTATTTTTGCCTGCCAGAGCTGTTTTTCAAGGAAGCAGCATTTTGCTCAATTAGAACGAGCCTTATAATCATTATAATTTATTCCTATTATTATTCTTATTTTTTTTTATTACCTTACCATTAATCTTAATTATTTAATTCTTTTTTTTTATATTAAAATATATATATATATATATATATATATATATATATATATATATATATATTTTTTCTCAACTTGCAATAACTGTTCATACCTGATTCTGTTGGAAGGGAGTGTCTGTACAACAATCATTTTATATTAAATTCCAATTTAAATTTTCTTTGCAAGACGCTCACTCTTTCGACAGAATTCAGGGATTTATTATTCCAAATATTGGTGAACCTGATACTGCCTTATTCTTTTCTGGGTACCTTCTACCTAAAGATCACTGTTTGGAGTCTGGATCAGCTGGAGTGACGTCACCCCAGCAATCTATCCTCTTCCTGGATACAGGAAACGACACGAAGACCTCCAGTTCACGAAAGTGAAACCCCACCCATTGAAGAGCTCCAGATTGGAAAGCAGGTACTTGGTATCAGATTCACCAAAACAACCAAGCTGTTAGCAGTGACATTTTACATAACATTGTATGTACACAAAATAAAATTATTGTTTGTTGAATTTTTGAGTGGTTTCATTTGCACATAAAGGGACTACACGTTATCTTATTTAATTTTTCTTTGAATTCACGACCCTAGGTTATCTTTATCTGAAAGTATACAAATCTAAGTTTATTTGTAACAACCTATCTACTGTAATGTACGCGCTTAACACTTTAAGTAAACGTAACATAAGGCACCCTTTCATCATCCGATGGGTGACATGTTGAGTGGTGGGCTAAAATAATTGGACAAATAATGGCAGTTTCTCTCAAAGATCCTCTATGGTAATTGATTGAGTTTAATATTGTGAGCTTGGAGTTTCTTTTGAATAAATTGGATCTTCAAGAATTTAAATACACAATAGTTTGGCGACGAGGCAGGAGTCTGCCATAAGCACAGTGGAAGATGTCATTGGTGGGCTCCATAGAACATTTTATTGTGACTGAAGGCGATTTCGAGTTTTATAGGGAGCGGATGGAGCAACTATTCAAGGTAAATAATACAAAGGTCGAGGACAAAGGCCCTCTATTTATAACTTTGATTGGCCCAGACGCTTACAAGTTAATAAAAAGTCTAATGCGGCCTGAAAGCCCTACGTCAAAATCCTTTATGGATATGTTGGATATTCTAGAAAAACATTTTACTTCACAAGTATCAGTAATCGCTGAAAGGTTCAATAGCAGGAATCAGAAACCAGATGAGTCGGTGACTGATTATATTGTTCAACTGAAAACCTTGTCAGCTTCGTGTGAATATGGCAGCTTCCTTGGCCAGGCTCTAAGAGATCGTTTTGTTTGTGGTATTCGATGTGAGTCAGTCGTACAGAGATTATTGACGAAGGAGAATTCATTAAAATTTGAAGAAGCTTGTAAAGAAGCACTAAATTATGAAATGTCAACTATACAATCAAAATGAGCCTTTCCACAAAGTAGTGTCCACCAAGTAAAGTCACAAAGCATGTCAGCGTCCAGCAGTGGAAAAATAACAACCAAAGTACAGTCAGCGTCCAAGTACAAACCAGTCAAACAGTCAAAACCGTCCACAAAATAAGGTAAACTAGAACCAAAACAATCAAGCACAAAGTGGTTGTTTTCGGTGTGGAAGACAGCACAATCCGTATACATGTCCTGCAAAAAAACTGGGAAAGTTTTGTAAGTAAACGCAAAGGTTACACATCCAGGTGCTGCAGACAGAGGTCCAGAGTTGTCAAATATGCTGAAGGTGAAGAAAATTTAGAGTCTAAAGAGGAATATGATGAGCAATGTTGTAATTTTAATCTCGAAGAATATGTGACAATAAATAGAATTTCAAGTGAATGTGTAGTCATTCAGGTCAGTGTCGACAACAAAAACTTTGAGATGGAAATTGATACAGGAGCCAGTGTGTGTGTGATTTTTCAACCAGATTATGAAAAGTATTTTGGTCATTTAGCATTATCTACTAGCAATTAATTAATAAATACTGTGTCAAGGGATGAATTGTTAGCAGGGATCAAATTATTGTCAAAGTCAAGTCAAATAATGAAAATATTGATTTTTTACCACTAATTGTAGTCAAAACTGGTAAATCTTTTAAACCATTATTGGGTAGAAATTGGTTAGACAAGCTTAAGCCAGCTTGGAGGTCAATACTTAATTTCAGTCAAAATGTCGAAAATTTTAACTTAGAATCTAAGGCAAAGAAAAAAAATTATAATTGTAAGTTTCTTAGCTCAATTCCAAATTTCATGGTCGGTCAATTCCAATAAGTCAAGGTCTTGGTCTTGAAACTCAGTCAGCTTGTCAGAGCCAATCAAAAATAAGCGATAGCACAGAAACTCAGGCAATGGATTGATGAACAATACAAATAAGAGTGGACCCAGATTACTGCCGTGTAAAACACCTGATGGTTTTATATAGCTTCTAGTATAACCTCTACCTTATATTTACCTTCTGATTTCTATCTGACAAATAAGACCTTAAGAACATGTACAGCCGACCTGATACTTCATAAGATGTAAGCCTATTCAAAAAAATTTCAGTCAAATGCCTTCTCGCAGTCTGTATAAATGACATCAAGTTGGTTTTTTTCCTCGATGGATTCTGCAACATATTAGGACAATATGCTGAGAATAGTAACACTTGGAGTGCGTCCGAAAAAGGGTTAAATTTTACCCAAGCGTGAGAGTAGGTCACGTGGTCAGAAGAGTAAATTTTTTCTGGAGTGTTTTCGGACGCACTGATGTATATTATAACCTAACATATAAAAACATCCAGAAAAACATAAATAACAATTAGGCTCAGTGTTCTGTGCATTTTATTTATCTGTCCGTACCTATTTTATCAACTTCCGAGAAACGGAAAATAAAATAAATATGTCTCACTTAATCTGAAAGTAGTAGATTTAAATGAAAAAACTGACAAGAATGACAGGAGTGAAATTTACCCAGCGGCAGAGTTGGTTAAGAAAGAGTGCACACTGGGTAGCACCCCGGATATTTTCGAACTAGCGTGAAAGTCAACCGGAGTTTATACCAATTCATTTTCGAACGGCTGGTGTGCACTCGGTGTGACGCCCAGGGTGATTTCAGACGCACTCTTGACCTGTCAGTCGCCAAACCATGCTAATTTCAGGGTGCAAACCTTCATACACATCATTTTTCTGTTTTTCTGACCTTTCTTATAAATTGGAGTTATGACTGTTTCCTTTAACATGGATAGAAATTCATTTTTTGTTATTGCTAGGTTATGCTCAAGTGGTCCAGCCAAAAATGCACCCCACCCCTTGTTACGGGTTCAAATTTCAATCTGATTATTGGTTTGATTTCAATATAGTAAATTAATTTGTGATCAATATTATGCAATGAATTATTCTAAGTTGTTGACAGGTCTCCGTTTACTAAATTATTATTATTATTGTGAACTAGGCTTAAGTGAATATGTACATTTAAAACATAAAACTCATCGGTTGCTCCGTCTGTTGCCGCAAGCAAATAATTTTAAATAGTAAATTTTAACAAGAGAATAGGATTTCTTCTTATAAACAAATATAGGAACAA